CTGTGCAAGGCCGGGAGCAGTGATGCTTCAGAACACTTGCAGCTCGCCCCTAGGGCTTGCTATTAGGTGGCTTATTAAAGATTGTTTCGGTCCGCCCATGCCTGCCAGAGCCAGCACCCGATCGCTTATTTGACAGCGAATAGCCAGGTTGGTGCTGCAGATGCCGCCTATTGGGCACCTTGGCGGATCTGGCACTCAGAGCTCACACTACTCGTACATGAGCTTCCCTGGCGAGCCAGGATGCGGTGTTGGAAGGTCTGGCCAGTGCAATCGCCTCAGAGAGCTCACGCTCTGCCATCCTGTGGCACAGTTCGGGCCCAGGTTCTCGCTGTCCCCTCAGCCCTCACTCTGGGCATTCTCAGCGCCCTGGCAATCAAGAGCGCCTCAGCACTTGCTCAATGCAGCCCTAGACGACAATGCCGGCCACAACAGATCCCAAAAGGGCAGGGTCATGCGATTGCTTTTCCGTCATGCAAGTCCTCCTCCAGGTGATTTGTATGGGAGACGGCCGTTCCTTCAGTTGAAGGCCTCTGCAGTCTGCACTGCCCACATTGAGCTTCGCTTGCACTTGTTTCTGTTTGCCACCGCTTGTTCAGCCATGTCGCATAAACCTGCAAGGCGGCTCTCAACGTAGCCCGTGTCCAAGCTTGAGCATGCTCTATAGTCTTATCGTTGTGCACAATGGTCTACAGTTCAACCAGCGCTGGAGGTGAGTGCGCTGCTGCTGCTTTCCTCGACGCATGCAGGCCTAGGGTGAATTCTGGCGCAACTGGAGCTCTGAGAAACTTGGCGAATGTTTCAGGTGCCAGCTTGTGGCCATTTCTCTGGGCAAACTCGCTGGATCAAAGTATTGATGCTGCTGGTGTCATGCTGGCAGTGCTTGCAGATCTCACCCAGGAGCTATCATGTTTGTGCGAGTGTTTCACTCGTGCACATGACATGGCCTGAAGTGAACGCCGTGACAAGGAGTACAAGATCGAGCGCTCTTCAACGCTTGGCCTCCTCGGCGCCTTCGTCACAGGAGTCCGGGGTTTGCATGGGTTTAGCACCGGTCCGAAGAGCTGCGAGCTCATGCTAAGCTGGCAAGCGCCGATAGCCCGTTGCTCGACAACAGGAGTCGCATGCTTTTGCATGGCTGCGGCTGCAAGCATACCGAGCAGCGTAGCCGCCCAGGCAGCAGCTCGAATGAATCAGAAGTGTCTGCCATATTCTTTTCTGGTCTTCCACGTCTTTCCCACATCCAGGGATAGTTTGTTTGCGTTTTGCAATGTGCGCCCAGAGAGTTGCCTGGAATAGCATGAAAGTCCGAGGTTCTGCTAACGGCGACGTTGAAGCTTGGCACCTGTCCTGGCTTTCAATTCTTCAATCCAATCTCCCTAAAGCCCAGAGTGAGCAGCACTTTGCTGAGGCTTCTTGCTCTTCCTCCTGCCTGAGACCTCTGAGGCTGCTGAGATGGAGAGCCCCCAAGGCAGGGTCGCCGGGGTGGAGTTTCTCAGCTTCTCCTCAGGGTTTCTCTGTCAGGGAGGGCGGCGGTGTCGGGCCGCATCCCAGAGATGCTCCAGGCCAAGACCTGCGAAGAGCAAAGCTTCGTCGCCGACGGGATCTCCGCACTGCGCCAGGAGGGCGTGAACATTTTACGCCGCCACCACGTCCTGCAGCGCTTGGCACTTGTGCAGCGCTGAGGCTGCTAATTTGGCACGTTTTCAATGCGATGTGGGAGAGCAAAGCGTCCAACATGTATCCTCTTCATCACCAATTTCCCTGGCAAGGTGCTTTGTCTTGCAGGTGCCGGGTTCACAGCCCGAAATCTCTTCCTCAGGTTCGAGTCTGAGCTCTGTCGTCTCGGAGCCACAACTCGCCGCGTAAGCTTGTCGTTACCGCCAAGTTCAGGTTTTACCTTGCCAGCCACCTTGGAGCAGACAAGGCGAGCACGGCTCCTCTAAAGCCGGGAAATTAAGTGTTTGCGTTCTAAGATATATATATATGTAAAGCTAGATGTATGTATTGCTCGATCGCTCCGCCTTCCACGCCCTCTGGAGATGATTCAAACTCGCATGTGGCTCAGATCTTACGATGCGATGTGACGAGCTGCAGGCCGACTTTGCGGTTCTGCTTCCAGCTTCCCTCCCGGGCAAGATCGTCACCTTCGCATTCATTTTGCCAGCGCTGGGAACCTGGCTGCACGTGATGGGAAGCTTTTCGGCCCCCCTGTGCAGATGTTGCTAGGCTAGTACATACTTGCGGAGAACTCGCTGCCCTGAAGGCTGCGCACAATGCAGACAGCATGTCCCGCGAGGCAGCATGATTATGGATGTGAGGTGGCCCTTCCCATCTCGGGGGTTCTCACTCTGTGCATCCTCGCCTCCAACGCCTTTTGGCAGGCACGTTTGCGTCCCCGATGAAGGCTTAATGACATTCCAGATGAAGCTGGCTGAGGTCATAGTCTGCTGTGCAGTCCTGGGTGGACCTGCGCTGATGCCTAGAGCCTAGATCCTACAGGATGGCATCGCAGGAGCATTACATCCCCGGCGCTTGGCATCGACTCAGGTTCGCACCCCTCATGTCAGCCATGAAAGCGAATCTCGTCGGTGATGAGGAGCAGGGCAAGGTCTCTTCCGGTCCTTGCAATAAGCCCAACGTCGTCCGACAAACAATGGAGATGAGCAGGTGCAAGGCGTGGTGGCAGCATTGAGGGCCCTGGCAAATGCTGCTGTCGGCTTTCTGCTGGGGAACGGCTTCCATGCCGCTGGCTGGCAATTGCAGGAGCCAGGCTGATTGAGACTTCACGAGAAAACCCTCAGCGCCCTGCGAGAGTCTTTGTGAGATGTCTAAGGCAGGCAGCCAGCCGATGCGAGGTGTCCAGGCCTGGTACATCCCGAAGTCCACAAAGTGGCACGACATGTTCCCATCGTCATCATAATTCCAGTCAAATAATAATGAACGGTCATGTTAGGGGCAGTATCGGTTGGAATACAAACTATAAAGATGCTCAGAAGCCAGGGCCTCACAGTCAAGAACCATTCCAAGCATCCCTGAGTCTCCCAGGAGCCCCGCACGAGTCCAAACTGGACCACGATTGGCATCCCAGAACACACTGCAACGGAAATACGGGTCGCACTTCGAAATGCGCACGGAACTCCTAGCTGGAGCGCGATTTCGGAAGGGGCGGCAATGGATGGAGCTGCGACGGAAAGAGGAATCCTATCCCCAAATCCTTGCATCACTGTGGCCGTGGCAAGGTTGAGAGTTGTGGAATTTGTTTTAAAACACCCCTGTTAACGGCTGCATTTTGAGACCATGGAACGGAGCTCGAAGATGACCAAGCGGGACTCTGACGGGAGTACGATCGATCAGCTTTGAACACGCGCACCGCGAAATACAGGAAAACATCCCTCTTGCTCTGCACTTTCGACCGCACAGCATCACCACACCGTCTGGAGAGGGTTAAATTTTGGCAGTGCCTAGAAGATCGTGCACTTGCGATACGTTACAATGCAGGCAAAAAGCCAATACAGTGCATTCGAGGAACTCTTCGCAGGTCACAAAGGCGCATTTAGCTCTGAACGAATGGACATGCGCATGTAACATACACACACACATACATACATGCATACAGACAGAGACAGAGAGACACAGTCAGACCGACCGGCAAGCAGGCTGACAGACAGACCGAGAGGCGGTACGCACGTTTACATAGACAGGCATGCATTATGACTTGCTTTACTTTGCTTGACTGTACTTTCATGTCCTTTACTCTACTCTACTACTTTCCTTACTTATTACTTGTGTACTTGCTTACTTACTTACTTACTTACTTACTTACTTACTTACTTATTGCTGACTGTCTTGCAAGCAAGTACTGTACATGCATATACAAACAGATGCAGATGCACATGCCTTGGCATGCATATCCAGACATACCGCACATACACGTACATACACATACATACGTACGGTTACGTACGTACATACAATATACATATACGTATATACCTTTATATGTATGTATGCATGTATCTATGTATGCATTCGTGCATACTTGTCCCACAGACATACACACACATGTATAGTATTTATGCAGTTATGTACACACACACATGTATGTATTATATGCATATCTACAAATATCTACATACATACATACATACATACATACATACATACATACATGCATACATACATACATACATGCATACATACATACATACATACATACATACATACATGCGTACATACATACATAGGTAAGCAGATAGATCCTCCTGTCTGCAAGGTTGGCCTTTTGCTGGTCGTGCTGCTGGAATTTGTAGCCTCGCTCGTGGCGCTGACTTTGCCCAACAGCCTGGAAGCTTATGGGCTGCTTTTGCGTCTTAAGGTCTCTCCTTGAAAACTCGTCGCCCCATGAGGTTACACCATTGGTGAATTTGCAATCGCAGCATCTGTGGTTGCCAGGTCCTTAGACCTGGATCTAGCGTTCTTGCCGGTGCGTTTTTGCCAAAGCTCCCTCGAACCTTGGATGCCTGACTGAAGAATCGGTAGAGGTCACCACGCTGTGTGAACACTTGTCCAAGGCAGGGGAAGAGGTCAGCGACACGGAGCTTGTGTGCGCCGTGCACTCACAAGACGATCCTGCAGATGCAGGCTCCGCGCAAAAAGTCACTGGCAATTCGGGAACCTACAAGACTCAAGCAGATGGCGTGCCCTCGCAGGCTGTCTCGACAACAGCAGCAGCGATGAGGAAGTTTGCAAGGAAAGACAACCTCTCCTCGCCAAAAAGGAGCCCATTTGCATCAACTTTGCTTGTCTTCAAGTTACACTCGCAGTCTGCAGCTGCGCGTGCAAACGAATGCAGTCTGGCAGGAAGCCGCTGATGATCTACCAGACGAGATGCCTCTCCATGTGCAAAGCTTGCCGATCATACTGAGAGAAACGGAGAGCCATGCAGCTGGTCCTGTGCTCATTGGACATGCATGCTTCGAGGGCAGCCCTGTGATGGCCAGGCGGCAGCTCCGCGTTCACCGCGCCACGTGGCCAACGCCCCACAGGCTTCGGGAGAATGATTCATGTTTCGGAACTGCATGTGCTAGCGCAGTCACTGGACAGGTTGGACCCATGGCTCCAAGGGCAGGTGGCAGCCTGGGCTTTCCGAATTTACATGTCCGGGAAGCGCAGAGTGAGAGTGAGACGCCAGGTCCGGCTGCTCCCTTAGGTCCATGTGTGAGGCCCTGGTCCGCTGGACTTCACCGAACTCAGCGCACCAAGAAATCGCCTCGCCAGGGATTCGACTCCCGCAGCCGGTCGGCCGCTGAATGTGGCCATCTCAGTGCCTTTAAGGTATCTTTGCCACACGAGCCGTCTCTCTGATGTCCCATATTACTATAGAGAAACAAAGAACTAGCAGCTTGAATGGTCGGTGTTGTGGGGGTTGTGTGGACAAGCTCTCCGTACTCAGGGCCAGGCCGTTCCAGCTCATCCAGCTCATGCAAGGGCCCAACTCGATTTCGGGCAGCTCTCTGCAGACACACAGCAAAACGAAAAAATCTCTGTGTGTGTGTGGTTCAAGGCGGCACCCACCGTTGCCAGAGGAGGTGCTGTGGTGCCGAAGGTCCCACAGGGAAGCGGACTTTGCATGAGACACGGTGCCGGAAATACTGCAGGGCAGCATGGTGGTGCACCTTCCTGCTGGTCCGGTAACCTGGGAACTTGACACGACATGTCAGCACCTGAAAGCTTGCGTGCATACTGTGATACCCTTCCGAGGGCTCCCTGTCCGTCCCCTTCAGTTTCTGGGGACTCCCGGACACGCTTTTCCCTTTGCATGCTGGTGTGCACTGTCATCTTTTGCACAGCTGTTCACTGCAGTTTACGATGAAGGACACATTTGACAGGTCTCACGATGGAAAGGGACAGAAGATGGGTATGCCGTTGGCGCCGGTGCTGGAGCAGGCACATCAGGCACGATCTCACGGTGCTTCGCTGCCCCTTTCCAGCATCCAAGCTCGCCATGACAGTAAGCAACATATGCCCTTTTATCGATGTTTCAGAACGTGGTTTTCGAGCTTACAGAGACGCAGGCGCAGCCGAGCCCACGGACGGCTCTCGGCCCTGTCAAATACTGAGCCGCGGAATGCGCCTCTTTCAGATCCAGACACTGCGACTTTTCAAACTTCAGCTGCGGGGCATGCCAGACTGCAGAACAGCAAAAGTGGAAAATTCTGAAAACCGCAAGGGAAAGCGAGTCTAGTGAATGTTAGCCATGCTCATCAACTAGCATTGAAGAAGGTTTCACCGAGCGAAATGCCTCGAACCGATAGCATGTAATTAGCTCTGCTCGCATCTTGCGGGCGGAAGCATCATGCAGCGCGTAGCCTTAAAAGAGAAAGGGCCACCGTTAGCATAATTTAATCAGATCAGGCTTCTTCGGATTTAGATAGGAAGTAAGGGATGCATGTGGGCACTATTCTGCAGAGGTGTTTCGTTCGTGGTTTGATGCATGTGCCTCGGCATGTGCACGCCTGTATTAGAGCACGGAAATATTGAAAGGACTCAGAATACTGCTCCGTTGTACACCCGGTATTCCCACCACTAGCTGGGAAATCTGACCGCATATTATAACTCGGGGGTATGGCTGCAAGCAAAGATTCATTGTGTTTTGCATGGCTCTTGATTGAACTACAGTTGTCATAGAATCTCAATATTTCGAGGGTCATATCCAACGCTGCCGGCTCAGGGAGCTCAGGGCTTGGGCGACACGGGACGTCTGGGAGAGTGCCACCAATGTAGGCCTTACTTTAGTCATCAGCTCTTCAAAGAGATGCTGTGCTGTGCTCACATCTAGAATGTCGTTGTTTCTACAAAACACCTCGAGGATTGGAAATTCTGACGGGCGTTTGAGTTGAATTGGAGCGTCAAACTTGGAACTTTGAAGGTTGGTCGACCCAGCGCAGGAGAACCCAAGGTACGGGAAGGTGGGAGGTTGGTTTTCCATGCATGTTTAAGGTTTAGGGTTTTGTGTGAACGGAAGCTCTGCCAGCTGTGGCAAGTCATCCGTCTGCCATTCCAATACTGCCCGGCGCCACAGCCTTTGTTGCTACAAGTTGTGTTTCCAGCTCTAGGTTAGGCCACGCACTAAGAGTGGCTATGAGGGATAGTGATAGTTATATTGGGATCCTACCAAATTCGTTTGAAGGATGCTCCTTCTAAGTTCTACACCAGTCTTTTTGGAACCTGTTGTTAAACTGTCGAGTTGTTTCTGGCTACCTGTCTCCTGGTACTCCGCAAGATAACAAGCCTTTATGCTGACCATGATGGACCCATCGGCGTATGGCGTTGCTGTTTACGGCGGAGCCGAGCAATGGAAGCTTACGTCTGAGATTCTGGGCGCGTGAGGGGCTTTATGCGTATTTTGTCATCTACGAGACCCATTCCTCGCTCAAAACCCTAACCCCTAAACCATGGTGTTAAGAGACCCCTTCAACGGCAACCCAGGATTGTCATGCAGAGGCTTTGGATCACTGGCCAGACGAAATTGTGATTCGTTCACGCGCGCTCCAGCGTGTTTTGGGTGGCACAAGTTTGCAGATGCCGTGGAAGAGAGCTTGAGAACCTTGGTCAAAAGAGTGCATAACCTAAACCCTAGGCCCTAGAGCGTTTCTTCTCTCTGAGTGCCGACGACCTAAGCTGGACTTAAACTCGGTTTCGTTCTTTCAGCAACAGTTCACGAGCGCCCGTCCGAACTGGACCCAGAGGGTTTGATCAGCAACCCTCCACAGCAAACCGCTTTAGGCTCCAAGCCCTAAGCCCATGACCTGCAACCCCGAAGCCCTAAAACCCGATCGAGAGCTCTGAGCCCAAGACCTGAAACCCTAAACCCCACAACCCACTGAGGTTGCATCAACCCATTCTTTGGAATGCCCGCGCTTGCTGATATTCATGGCAGGACTCGGCAAGGTCGTGCAGGAGATCTGCTGGGCTTAGGGTTTGAAAGGCTCCAAAGCCCCAAACTCCACATCCAAAGACCCTAAGTGCCCCAAACTCGAAGCCCTCTCCCCCCTCCCAAAGTTCTTCAGGAGAAGTGGCGTTTGTGGTCAGCTGCCTGAAGTGACTGGCCGCAGCGCATGCCGGTCAGCTCGCCGTGACGCCCCAGCATCACAACAGCCCTCACAGCTACAGATCTTTGTAGAGCCCCAGTCCTACAGACTTTGAAGCGCAATGTTTGGGCCACCTGCAGTTGAGAACTCTAACAGTCTAAAGCCCAAAGCCCCGAGAGGACAGGCCTTCCCGTAAGATTGCTAAAGAGGCCTTCTGAAGGAGGGGGGACGCTCCGGCTTGCGGCTGGAGCTGGAAGACTTGAGGAGGTCGCTTCGCAGGAGAGCCCTTTGCTGGGAGCTTCTGGCCCAGTATGCAGGTTTTATTTGGGGGTCAGCTCAGGGTTCGGAAGATGGGCGTTTTTCGGGGTGTGCTTGGCAAGGACCCCTTCTTTAAGGCGTTGAGCTTCGGGTTTTGCTGCCGTCCTGGTTGCAGCGGGGAGCCCCCTGAGCCCTGCTGGCTCCGTTGCAGCACTTCCGCTCCGTCGGTTCGCTTCCACGCCCCGATGACCCAGGTGCGGGAAATGGGGTGTCGCAGCGCGCTGGTCACAGCATGCCCGGATGATTGCAGCTGCCTGGGCTTAAGAGGCCGACTCCAAACGACAAGGGATGCCAGGGATGCTGTTTGAGGCACCGGCGCCCATTCGTGCCGGTGTGCATCTCTCCTGTATCGTCCGGTGGCCAACTGCGGATCGAACATGTTCCACGTCGCCGAGGGGTAAAGAGGGGTTAGGGCTTCGGGTGTCAGGATTTGAGGTACTTGTATAGGGTTGTGCGCCTTCAGCTTGCGCGTTGAGATGTCCAGCTTGAAGCACCCGTCGTGCTGCTCGACTGCTCTGGCCTGGGTTTAGGGCCTAGGGGTAAAAAGCGTCACTAAACCCTAAACATCCTGGACCCTAGACCCTAAATTCGTAAGCCACGCTGCCAAGCTTGTGGGGTTTTCGGGAGGCCTCCCTGTGGTGCCAGAGACTGGCTTTGAGAGTGCCTGGTCCTCGCTACAGGTCCTCATCCTCTCCGCGGTGCACGCCTATAAACCCTTGTAGCCCCTTACCCCTCAACTAAAACCGAAACTCAAGGATCCTAAGCCCTAGAGTCCACAAACCCTGAGTCCCCAACCCCCTAAGGCTTGTTGGACTTCCGTTCTCCCAGCCGTCCAAGCTTCACCCTGGTACTCCGTGAGGAGAGCCTTCTTCGGTCTCAAGTCTCGCCGGGCGTCCCTAAACCCACCCCCCTGAACCCTAAACCTTCAATCCTAAACCCTCCATCCTGAAACCTGAATCCTTAGCCAGGTGTTCCTTTAGGGGAGTCCTTGCGGAGGCTGAGGCTGCGGTCCTGGAGGTTTTTGGAAACACAGGCAGCAGCTTGAGCCTTGAGGTCAGGTGGCACCTAGATGTCGTTTAGGGTTTGGGGGATATCCGACTTACATATTTGGGCTTCAGGCTTTAGGGGTGGTGCAAGTGTGGGGTGGGACCATAGGCTCAGTGTCAAACTTCAGGTCAACCCACCCAGTTCCTGCGCCGCGCCTTGAGATGCTAAGATGGCGGCTTCGGGGCCGACCGTGGGCGTGCGAGAAGTCTAGGTGCAAGGCCGGGTGAAGTTGGCACTTTGGAGCCCTGGACCCGAAACCTCGAAGCCACAGTCAGAAAAGAGCTTCCTCAACATGAGCTGCTCTAACGCACGCCACCGTCCCTGGTGCTGGCCGTCTAAAGCAGCATGGATGTCGAGGAGTCAGGCAGTGAATCTTTGCTCGGTGGCTGTGGCGTTTTAACGCGTTTTGTCTCGGACTTCTTCTAGAAGCCCCTTGCGAGCAAGTTTGCAGGGCAGCTCGTTCTGGGGTTGCGGGGATTTTCCGTTCTGCTCCCGAGCAGTAGGGACATGGTCCTGTGCCGGAACACCCAAGCCCCAGACGTCTTCTGCAACTTGGCCCAAATCCCTTCAAAAACCTCAAACCTAGCAGTCGCGGTTGCTTCCTGTGTAGCTCGGCCAGTCGATGTGGACCATAGAGCTCCATCTGTAGCATAAGGGGACATGCAGTCGTAGGGCTGCTGGTGTATTGACGCCTGAAGTCGGTGTTTAGGGTATGAGGTGTAGGGTTTAGGGTTTACGCAGCACGTGCGGCGTAGGATTTAGGCGCTTGAGGCGGTTCGGAGTTCACTTTGCTAAATGCCTTCAAGACACTGCCTTCCCTGACTGAGCGGCGATTGTCAGGGGCTGGTAAGGATGCATGTTCCCTGAGTCCTTGCTGGGTGTCAGCCTTCACTCAAAATGGCAGACCAATCACTTAACACTGTCCCCTAAGAAACCACACAAAAAGCAGGCTTCAGATCGCTCCCCCCGATTTGGGGGAAGTCTAGCTTGCCTCAGTGATGTCAAAGCAAAGCACGCCTGATGTCACTCGGCTGAGAGAGGCTGATGTCAGGCATCTCCAGCAGTTTATGAGGCACGCTTCGTCTGATCCTAGTCATGGGCTGTGTGCCCTGAACCCGGTGCACCTGTAAGCATGCCTGGAGTCGGCGGCAACTGACCCGAAAAACAAACGCCAAACCCTTCCCGGCATTGCCGAATGCTGCATGTGAGTGGATGACCGCCACAGCGTAAGGTAGCCCCTGCATCGGGTTGTTCACCCCTCCGCCCTTCATCCCGCAACCCTACTACCCTAGACCCTACCACCCTGACCCTAAACCCTAAACAACGGTGAGGGCGACTACGGGCTTCTCAAGTTGCTGCAGGGGGGTTTTGTGAGCAGCTTCGAGCAACCTTAGAGCTGGTGCTCCAGCTGGATGGCGACTTCTGTTCCAGCAAGGTGGCGTTGGTCGCAAGGGCCTTGGCTCCTATTCCTCTTCTGTGCCAGGCGCAAGCAAAGCTTTTCTTTCCAACATTGCAACCCCTATACCCTAAAAACCCTAAACAGTGTACCCTAAATCCTCACCTAAAGTTGCTGGCAGAGCCTCTGAAGGATCAAGGACTTTGACGTCTCCTGTAGCCTCTGTCCGAATCGTTGCGGTTCGAACTTGTGCCAGCCAGATTGCAAC